GTATGAGAGTGTGTATTTCGATCTTCTTTTCATTCACGTTCTCAAAGTACATGTTTTATATGAAATTAACTTCCATATTGCTTAATAGTTACTTCAATAGTAACCACTAACCATCATCAGCCTCCGAAAAAACTACATGTATACAATAACGAGATTATAAACAAATTAATTTGTTATTCTTCTATCATTATTATGTTGTTCAACGGTATAACAAATATAAAGGAGATAGTAGGCAGCATCATTTATTGTAATGTATCTCATAGAACAATAATCGAATGCATATAAACATATACTTCTATCGATATGTTATATATTTATGTTTCAGATTCATTTTGAGTAATAATACAAAGACTATATAAACACAAACTTCTTTTGCGTTTTTCTCAAAGTTGATTTTTTTTCTGTAATGATGCAATTATGGACAAATTTTTTCTCAACATACTTCATTCTAGAAAAGCTGTATTTTTTTCCAAAGAAATCCTAAATTTTTCAGAAACTCATGTCTGGAAATTCTAGATTATTGAGTTTTTGATTATTCGGTAAGTAAAATAGGTTAAAAATTAAAAAAAAATCCCTTCCCTCATGCGAACTGGAAGGACCGTAATTGGGAAAAAATAAGAACATAGGGTGTAGAAACTCAGGACAAAGGAACCTTTTTTTTTGTTCAAATTAAAAATAACACGCAGGATAAACAATAAATAGAATCAAATGTTTTTAATTCATTCTCATCTTCAGAATTAAAAAAAAAACCTTCATTGTACTTAGTTATTCCATAATCAAATTACATGTGATTATAGTTTAGTCAATTTATCGATCTCTCCTAAAAAACTTTATTTCTTCAAAACCAAGTCTGTTATGAATTCCAACCATTATATCATATTAGAATTCGATTGTTTAACCAAAATTGTTAACTTATCTAACATATTGTCCAAAATATCTTCTCCAGTCAAGTTGGTATAAAGACAAACCGCAGTCGTAACATTCTTTAGGATAATTAGCAAGTTCTCTGTATACAATAGTAAATGCTTTGCTCAATATAGAGCAAGTAATACTCTAGAAAAGTCAAAAAAAAAACTGAACAAACTTTCACTACACTTTTTTCGATTTTGAACAGGTTTTTTGGAAGAGAGGTTAGTTCTTCCTGGCTAAAAGCATTAGTGGCAACGCTATTTTCAAGTAAAAAGATGATGAAAAAATATGTCCTAAAATAGATAGAAGGAACAATCTCCGGGTAATTTCCAATAGCAATTGAATTGTATTCTATATTTTAATCGTACAAAGATTGCACTAACAGCTATTACTTAATACCATTCATCAATATACATCAGATCAAGTAGATAATGCTAATTTATGTGCTTATTTTAGTATTTATTAATAAAGATAATATAAACTATTTAGTATAGATAAAGTTAGTTTAATTTTAATCCTACATAACAAATTATGTATATCTATTATATTAATTCTTATATTAATAATAATTCTAATGACCTTAATTTCTAATTAACAAATCTTTTTCATTGATTAACTCTAATGTACTATTCATTTGACATAGCTAATATCTTATTTGATTGATATCTTTCATTAGCTATAAGCGAAAAAAAAAAAAAAAGAAAATCGACATGTATAATTTATCGTTCGTTTTTCCAATCAAATATCGAAGGATATTTTGTTAATACTCGAAAATGTAATTATTCAAGTGTCGAAGGTTACATCATTCACACATATATATATATGTAACTGCGTGAAATCGCATCCAACTTACGATCGATCATTGCTGTCATCTACATATATGTATGTATATATCAAAATCAGTACATACAGGTATGATAATAATGATCATCATCATCATCATCATCACGTCTACGAATAAAACAAATTGACTTTTTTTTTTTTTGGAATTTTTGTTTTTTTTTTGTCGTTTCGCTGTTGAAGTAATTGATCATTATATGAATTAATCTGTCTTTTATCAAGATGAATTTCATGGCTATTAATCTTTTACTTCTAATTGTTGTTTATATAAATCAATGTTTAGTTTCTAGTACTGTGAGAAATGACGTAAGTGATGTAATATAACCTTGTAAATATTGATGCTGAGTAGAATAACATTGATGCTATTAATTTACTTTTACATTTTATTTCTTATTTCTAAATAGATTACATATAATATTCATCAATATTAGTTTAATATGGAATCATATCAATATATCGGCTCAGACTACTTACTTACATTTTTCATTTATATATGTAGAAATGAAAAGACAGTATTATTTCATTTTCTCTTTTGATCACTGTCATCCACTCATTGAGATCAGACAAGATATATGTAAAAAAAAAAAAAAAAATCTTTTCATCATTTAGATCATCGTATCATTTCTAATCGTGAGTGTACTTCGAACTGATTATTATACATGTAAAACAAGTATATGTATATATAGTTGATATATCCTATGCACGGTTGAACATATATATATATATATATTGAAATAAATAATATATCCGATTTTTTGATCTCATACATACATACACACTATATATTAATGATGTAAGAAAAAAAAAAAGAAACTTCATGATAAGAATCATTTTTTTGTACTAAGCAAATGCTGTCAATCAATGTCCCTCATCTGTTTTTTGTCACTCTTTATCTTCTATTCATTCTTCTCTTTTTTTTTTTCTAAATGTGTGTCATGTCTAATAATCAATAATATAAGAAGAGTATTTCAAATATATAGATATATATATGTACGATATTTAAAAAAAAAAGCAAAAGATGATGTATGTTCTTTTTCATTGTAGATCTTTTCTTTTCTTTTTTTTTCAGTTAATAGAAATTGTATATACATATGTGTTTGACCAAAATTCTGTCATATTCTATTCTCAAGTGAATGTCTTATCTGTAATGTTCTGTCAGGTAATTCTAAACGATGTGTGTGTGTCTAGGTATGAGTGTGATTTGTGACAGTTTCGCTTCGCATACTTGAAAAAAATAATAGAAAGAGAATAAAAAAAAATTGGTTTATGTGACGCAACACTCTTTTAAGAGCACGCAAAAGAGAGAGAAAGATAGTCTCTCATTTTATTCTTCTAATCTTAATGCAAGTGTACATATAAGAATAATAGTGATAATTTGTGTACATATGATTTTATTACATTTTAGAATCGATTGTTGACACAAACAAATCGATAATAATATGTTATATTTTATTCTAGTCGAATAACTTCGATGATGACCATTTTATTGATCATTATCTTTTTCTTTTGTTGTATAGTTATACTATATAGAATTATTTAGCCTATGACCTTCTTACGCGAATGGATAGTGTATTATATGAATGACCAGAGGGAAGAGAGAATCGATTATATGCTTCAATGTTTATAACAGCTTCTCATGATTAATACAACAAGAGATAGTAATACTAACTTTTTTTCTTTTTTTTTTTTTGTATTATTGAACGATACTATTCTCTTCTCAATAGAAAACTAGAGTAATTCTCAATAGTATGCTCGTTTAATTTCATCTCTATTTTGTATTCATCAAATTGACATGAGCACGCAAGCAATGATAGCTACTAGGTAATAATTGATGTCTTTTCGGTCAAGTGTTTCTTCTTTCAATAATAATTTACCTTTTGATTATACTTTTTTTTTGTACATATCAAATGGTTATTATTGTTGAAAGATCAATAATTATTGAACTCTTTACTATGTAATTGATTCGTCTGGTTGTTTATGTACATTCTTTTTTTTTTCATTATAAATTTCTAGTCATATTTAGTATATAACAGTAAAGAAATATAATGTTAAGATTGTTTTGTATCACACTCAATAAAAATGTCAAATATTGAATATTATTCTAATGAGAAAGTCATTCAAAATCTATGAAGGTTAATCTTTTTTGTATTGTTATATTCGCGTTACATTTCTTTTTTTTTTTTTCTTCTATATGAGATGTTGATTGATGAAGATGAGGTTGTGCTCTGATACACCTGTCTGTCATTTTGTTTTTTTTCTTCGATAGATTGTTAAGTCTTTTGTTTCTTTTTTAGATAATGTTTCTATTACTATATTTTATTTTATTTATTTCTTCTATTAAAGCTTGTCCATTAAAAACAGTTGATATTCATTCAGGTTGTTATTGTGGTATAGAAATAGATGGTAAAAATTATATTCATTGTCATCCATATTCAATAAATAATATACCAGAATTTACACGTTCATATATATATGATAAATTAAATTTATCAAATAATTTTATTGAATATTTAACAAATAAATCATTTCATCAATTAAAAATACGACGTATTTATATTGAAAAAAATCCAATAAATTATATTGATAAACAAACATTTAATAATAATAATCTTCTTCATTATCTTGAAGAATTATATATTGAAACAATAAATAATAGTAGTTTAGAATTTCTTTGTTATGGTATATGGAAAAAACTTCGTATACTTAAATTATCAAGATTTAATTTAAATCAATATCAATATTGTTTTAATAAACTTAATCATCTTGAAAAATTAATTA